GAGTCCTTGAACATTAAGTATTTTCAGGAAGTTTGGACCTGATGAATTCACAGAAGAACTGGTTTTAGCAATTTTAGATCCATTAGGAATTACCTTTAAAAATTCATGGAGGCTTCAAGGAGACTGCAAAAGGCTTATCTTTAGACTATTCCCAATCCAAAAACTTCACAAATTGGAGAAAGGAGGGCTATGAAATTGTAGACTGATTAATGCAATTTTTAAAAAAACAGTATTTTTATCCTAAGCAAATTATAAAACTATTTCATTTGTGGGAACCTAAAGCTAAGAGAATATGGAGAAGGGAGAAGTTGAGGAAAATCATTACATCATGTTATATGCAAAGTCATCCTGTTCTTCCTAAAAATATGAAGAAAATTTCACTGTCCAGAAATGTGCACTTCATTGAAAGAGATTCATTATCAATCTGGAAATTTATAATGTGATATTTCTTTATAGGGTACAGTTAAATATTTCCACTTATTCTTGAACAGAAAAGATGCTAATTGGGTGTGTATTCGCTCTACAGTGGGGCAGGATCAGAATTCAAAATGGTAAGTTTCAGAAAATAGAAGAGTAATTTAAAAAAAATGGCATTCAAAAGGAATTAATGAATATTTCCACACTTCAGATGAATATAAATTGCAGAAATTCAGGAGGAAAAAAGCTGATTATGTCGCAACTCCATAAAATTAATTTCTAGATATTATAGGGGATCATGTACTAGACTCAACAATACCACACCATTAACTGAGAAAAAAAAAAAAAAAAACTTGACGTACTTGGATCTGCTTTGAGCAGGATTTGGGACTGGAGGACCTACAGTGGTCCTTTCCCATCAAAATTATTCTATCATTTTATATTTTTTACACTATTAATGTTTCAGTTGCTGTATTCCATTCAGTTTTGAATACTGTAGTTCAGGAGAAAAATGAACCAAGATCTACAAAATAGGATGAGGAAAGACTGAAAGAATATAGGTTGTTTCACTTAAGGAAGAACAGATTAAAAGGGAAGTGATAAAAGTCTTCGACACGTACAAAATTGTTGCAAAAAGGAACCAGAAAAGTTCTTTTCTGTAGAGGGGACAGGAATTAATAGCCTTAAACTTTGGCAAAAGAAATAAAGGTTAGAAATTAGGAGACACTTTATAATGGTAACTATACTTAAGTGCTACAGTAGGTTATCTAAGAATTTGGACTGCTTTGCTAGAAGAAAAAGCTGAGCTTAATCACCTCTTCTTAAAAAGGTCAGGAAAACAGCTACCTGTGGCAACTGTCTCTGATGTGAAAAGGCCATTCACCATCCAGGAAGTGAAACCAGGACAATTGAAAAATTGTCCATTTCAGCTGTGAGGTTCTGTGGTTTTGGAATTTTCCAAACTGTCTGGAACTTCTTTATCAACAGTAGTTAATTCAAATATATTATCCTATATTAAATTGGGATTAAATGCACAATAAAATTGTTTAGCTACACTTTAAATCCTAAAATTTTTTTCTGAAGGTGTAAAAAACCCGTTTTCAGATGTAAAAAATACTTAGACTTGTGCTTCCTGGTTATAACATTCTATATATGCCTCTGTAGGCATTATGAAATTCCTATGTAGCTTGGAATGCTCATGTACACAGATCCTAGACATTTGCTCTCTGGGTTGTTCAGATATTTACAGAGTCACACATGCCGCAGTCTCTCTGGAATCTTGACAAGATTCTTGTCAACAGTTTTGTTTCTATCTTCCATTCCATGCAACCCTGAATTATATGGGGCAGAATTTAAATATGTGTGATATCAGGGAGGCAGTATAATTGCCAGTTCATGCTTTTATGTCTCCTTTACTTAGTAAGGAAAGCAGGATTTTCTTCATTGAGCCATCCAGCTCATCCATACATTCTTGTATATTTTCCTGTAAGATCATTACAGTAATCCTCAATCACTTTATCTGTTCTGCTAATGCTTTTTTACATTTTGTTTAAAAAAAAAATCTTGCAACACTTTCTGGAATTCATAGCTCCAACTCCATAGTCTTTTATTATTCTTTACTCTGACCAGCTTGGATAAGGGCTATAATAGTCTCTACGCTACTATTTAATAATTATAATATTTTGTCATGGAAAAAAGCTTTTGCTAAGACTGATCAATGAGTTATTAATATTCTCTTATTACTGTCACAATCCTTACATTGTCATTACTTAATGGCTTTTGCTGCTTTTCTTTATAGTCTTCCACTGTCCAGAATATTTGCTTTTTCTCTTCAGACCCTTTATTTGCCATGCAAATCATTTTCTCACTTAGCTTCGACAGGATTCATCTTTAATTTATCAGGAAGTGGGTTTTGGCAGCTTCATCCGTGATAGCTCTTATTAATCCCAAAGTTTTCTCTAGTTCTTCTCTTTTTCCTCTGGTAATGTACAATACATATTCTAAATATTGAACATTGCATTTATGTATTTTGGACAAGTCCATGCAAAGGATCTACTACATGCTTTATTTGTTCAAGTTTTAAATTTATAGTATGGACTAATGTAAAACTGGTTTGCAAGTACACTCTCAGGAAAGTGTTTATGCATTAAACATATGATCATCCTTGTTTCTTGGTGGATTATCACTTCCACCAAAATCTTTCACTAGGATAATTATCATCGATTAGGTAGACAGAGTATTTAAACTGAGTGATTTGTAAAGATTGGCAACTGG